GATTCCGGAGGTTCTAGACATTCTATAGATTCCAGATGTCCTATAAACTTTAGAGATTATAAAGCTACTAGAGCTTTCGGAGACCCTAGAGTTTCTAGAAATTCCAAAGATTCCAAAGAATTTAAACAGACTGAAGATCTTAAGGAGTCTAGAAATCCAATGATACTAACGATTCTAGAGATTAATGAGATTATGGAGGTTTGAAAAATTCAAGACATTGAAGAAATTCAAGAATTTCAAGGAATTTCGGAGATTCCATAGATTTCAGAAATTCCAGAGATTATAGACATTCTATAGATTTTAAAGATTCAGGAGGTTGTAGAGGTACTAAATTTCCAGAAATCCACTAAACCAAGAGATTCTGCATATTTTAGGGATTATAAAGCTTCTATAAATTCAGGAGAAGCCAGGGATTCCAGAGATTGTATAAATTCAAGAGTTTCCAGATACTCTAAAGATTCCAAAGATTCCCGAGATAAAAAAAAAACTAGAGTTTCTAGAAATTCTAGAGATTCTAGAGATTTTAGGAATTATAAAGTTACTAAAGATTCTCGAGATTCTGGAAATTCAAGAGATTCTAGATATACTATAGATATTATATGTATTTTAGGGATTATTAAACTTCTAGGGAGTCTACAGACATTTAGAGATTCCGGAGGTTCTAGACGTTCTATAGATTCCAGAGGTTTGGAACTCCCGAAACTCCCGTACATAACGTACTGAACAGTTAATCTGCCATTTTCCAGACATCCGGGGGATTACTAATATAATTCACTTATGGCATTTAAACTAAAAAAAAATCATACGCTCGTGGACCCGCCAACTCCGAATTTATTATTTGTACAGCGCAGACTGGGTAAAGCGCATAATATGCGGCAGCTTTTAACTTGCGATATTCAAATATTTGCACTGATTCAAAAACTAGTTTGAAAACTTGCTAAATTTCTCTTAGCACACACAACACGGGAACGCATCGCACTCTCGGCTCCCCAATCACGCGATCCCGATTGTCGCCCAAAGTACACAAACAATGTAAACTATGCACGGCTAAGGGTAAATATCCCCGTTATTAATATCGAGAATAACGTTATCAGATATTAATTTTCGTTAGTGGGAACACGTGTTCGTTCCCAGGTCGAGCCTTTCGCTCTGTAGCTTTCCCAGCAAATTAAAAACTCCCCTTATTTATAAATAATAACGGCGCGGTTCTTCTAATTGCCCTTTTATTCCGAAACTTCAGCGTTAAAAATTCCCGTCGGCGAAAACACCGACATAAAAATAATCGCTCCCACTTTACATTCGTGTCGACGTGTCCATCAGTAAAAAATTCGTGTCGAAAAATAGATCAATTCCTGGAAAAAATGCAAAGTCCGCAATTAAACTAATTAAAAAGTGATATTATTCTATAAGGCGTGTTTATTGTTTATAAACAGCGGAACTGACGCATGCCGGTTATCACGTGACACTATCTCATTAGCGCGGACGTCAATATAATATTCACTTTTCTTGTTCGGTGTACATGCAACATTCACTCGAAATTATAACGTGTATGTATAATCCACCCCGCACGTGTATTACTGGTTGCCCGCCTCTCACCTGCCCCACTTAATCTCCCTAAAATTTCAATTAACATCCTCGTCGTTAAAACGCCGAGATGAATTACAACGTCTACAATCATTCAAGTTTACGGTGCATCGTTACCATCCGACACACTCATTCCTTATCCGTTTTAACGAGATCCCGGATAGAAATCGCTAAAATCTTCCTAGACTTTATAGCCCCGAGCCGTCATTGTTTCGTGATGAAATGTCCAGACTCCGGCGAGATAAGCTCGAACTTGATGAAAATAGCCTTCAATTTTCATTCCGTAAAACAGCTTCTCGAAGAGATTGAATTATTAATTAAAATAAATAGCGGACAATTTCTTTTTCTCGAAGCGGATTCTAGATCAACATCAACATGAAACGTTCACCGATTCATAACGAGATTTCCTCGCCGTGTATTGTTGCAATCGCGAAAAGATCAAAAGGGGAATTCGGAGTGAGTCATCCGGAAAATCGCGAATTAAACCAACTAATTTTATTCGAAAATGTGTTGCATTCCGATCGAAAAGCTCTGGCAGACGTGAAAAAACGCGCTCCCGATGTTTATGTATTTTTTACTATTACTTCGGCTTGTTTATTTGGAATTCGCGAGTGTTACGTCAGCGAGCTTCGGGAATTAAGACTGGTGCTAGTATTATATAAAAATTTTTCAGACGAGACACAGATTCTCATTTTTTTCCACAGATAAAATACAGTCGGGAGATTTTCGAGCACACCATAAACCAGACGCTGTTTGTTTTCATAGTTCTTCCTGGTTTTTATCTTTTTATACCCCGGGCTTTATCTATTTATTCGTACGTTTATGGTTCTTCTCATTTTATGCGGTTCTTGCACCTAGGGCGAAAGTCGGATCTAATCTCGGTAAGTGAAGTTCATTCTCTTCCTTCTGTCTCTCCCTTTCACCCCGGCATTTAGATTGGCTATCTTGACGCGTATGGGACCTCATTACTTTAACAGCGATAAATCCAGGTTCGTTTGTCTCTTTTGAGGTTATTTTCGGGGAGCTAGGCCTCTGTTTATGAATGAGATTTCGCTTTTTGTAAACTCCGGCCAATGTAAACAGCTCCCGAGACCGTCTAATCTGTTAGCGAAATCCAAATAAAAATAATGGGCGCCCGAACAAAATTAAAAAGGAAAGAAACAAAGAAAACATCTCGATTTTAAGAGGAGTTTTATTTAGACTGAGCTCCGTTTAGCGCCTCCTTTTAATTCGCTCCGCCACGCAGCGGGAATTTCCAGAATTTTCCACAAAGGGGGGATTTCCGCCGCTTTTCTTCAACATTTCCTTTTCTCAATTCGCACACAAAGCCAATTGTGACATAAAAGCGTTAAATTCTTATGTAAATTTAAAAACTAGGCGGAGCTGTCGATATAACCGCCCATTTCCCCCCTTCTCCAACTAATTCGAAGAGAGGCGGAGCCCGAAACCCGTACTGGCCACAACACAAACAAAAACACCAACCTGTTGAAAACCCATCTAAATTATCCATTCAAAATCATCTCCATCCACCTGTGCCGGATCAATAACGCGTCGGGACGGACGGCGTCCAACTACAAGAGTCCGTACGGCGGTTAGTTAACCGACGCCACGTGACTTATCTCACCTGACATCATTCGCCGTCGGCTGACGTGACGAAAGCGTCACGTGCATCACGCACGGCACCTCGCCGACTATGATGTGCCCGCTTCCCGACACGCACCACCAGAAAAGAGGAATCAAAGAAGACGACGAGACAACGCTGAAAAACGCGCCGGCTTTAATCCGCCGGGACTGCGGGTCGAGATGGCTTCGTTTAAGTTAATTCCGGTGTAAAAATCCACGCCGGTAATCAAACGAAAGCGGGCGATTTGAGAGGATTTTTTCTTCGGTGCGGGTTTATCGGAGGAGACGTGAGCGGAATTGGGGCGGAACTAAAAGAATGGTTTATTTCTTGAGAGATAAAGGCACGGGTCGCCGCTCTCGGCGCACTGGAGCGTGTTCGACGGCGAGTCGGTTTCTGCGACGCGAAACCGGTTTCAGCCACTACGAGCCGTCGGTTTATGACCGCTTTGTTACAAACTAGTTGTCTTGTTAAAGTCCCGACGAGACATCACGCGATTGAGGAAGTGCAGGGACGAGCAACCGGTTGCAGTCTTACGAGCGATCGGTTTACGTAGTTTGTGACCCGGCCAAGACGCACCCTCTTGCACGCGTGGATCAGCAGCCAAACTAGCGCCCAAAACAGGATCAATACCCTCGAATTTAATTAAAACTACTTCGAAATTTCCGTGTCGGCGGGGCACGTGTTCCAGGCGAACTTCGCACAGCTGTAGCCGAAACACGGTCGATAAAAACCCGAAAACAAATTGCCTTCGGAATTAATTCCATCCCTTCCCGCGTTTGATTGGGTCGTCGCGGAGCTCCGGCAATTTTGTAATGGATTTTTATGATGGATAATAAAAGTCGAGAGGTTGATCGACTTGCCATTTGATCGACGTCTCTTCCGGCATCGATTCGTCGACGTTATAAAGGTCACGTATTTAGGCATTCCGGCGCGTAATTGAGACGTCGAAGACGCGGGTATCAATCAAGCCGAATTTCGATGTCTAGTTTCGAGTTTCGTCGGCGCCGCGGCGATAAGGAAAAACATAAAACGTACATTATCGTCGCCTTTTTCACCTAGATTGACGCGTCGCTCCTCTGTCAGTTAACTAAGCAATCTTCTTTGAGAAATTGCCTTCTCGTTTGCGGCTTACGCGATCGCATCATCGGATAATTATACGTGCGAAGTAATCCGGGGCGCTCCCTCCTTCTCCCGGAGACGTCACGTCGAAATTATAATTCAATTCGTCGGAGGGAATTACGCGGGAGTGTCGTCGTGAATATATTACTTAAAACTTCCAAACGGTTATTGCTTTTTTGAGGATTTAATTAGTCGCAAGATGCTCGACGCGGAACCGGTTTCACCTACGACGAATCGGTTGCGCCTTACGGAGCGTCGGTTTATGGCACACGGAAGCACTTTTTGGACTGTCGGTTGCGCAATTACTTCGGGTTGTGTATTATTTAGACCCCGAGTATAGTTTTCCACTCGAAATACGATTATCCGACCTCCGTAAACCCACTTTGCGGACAATCTAAACACACATAAAATAAACATGGAACCAGCGATGGACTGTTATTGGGTTACCGCAATTTTCGGCGTACTTTTTCGATGGAAACGGATCTCTTTCGGTGGAAAGGTCAAGCGGCCCTCGAAACAAACCCTTCCCGATTTGCATAAACAAGCCCGACCACGCCGAGATGATTTCTATTATTCGAAATTACAATAACAAATTAAGTGTAATGACGCAATCGAATGCAAAAACGCCCGGTTTAAATTCCGATTAATTCGGTTCGAAAAGCCATTTACTCACCTCTTCGTAGAAGCGAAGCTGAGGCACGGGAACTTCGGACAGGTTTTCGCAAAAATCCTTAAATAATAGATAACCTGGAAAGAAAAAGAAATTAATCGATTGTGAAACGACGGGACGAGTCGACTATAAAATTTTAATATTTGCATTTCGAGGAAAATAACACCCACATGTTGGACGGAACGAAACGGTCCGGGGTTGCTCGACCGATGAAATATTGCAACAGCGGACGTTAACGAAATTGCTTTTTCTACATTCCTCAAATGTTTTAAGGCTCCGGACGGGGCTGCTGTTTTTAAAAACGGTCTTATTAAATGGGCGATATTTCTCCGGGTGGCAGCCGGTCTGGAGCGACTTTTAAAGCGCTACGTGTTGCACGCCACACATCGGTATGTCAAGCGACGTGCGATCGGCTGCATCGCCGCGAAACCGGTTTCACCTGCTACGGTGAATCGGTTTACGCGCAATATTAAGCGGGACTTGTCCTAAAAACGCTCCGTCGTTATTAAAACCCTTCCGCAGACATGTCATTCGAGATAACGACCCTCCGAAATAATGAAGCCTCCCTTCATTATAATAATAACGCGAAGTTGTTCGCCAACAAACTTCATATCTCGGAACGATTGTGCCTGCGAATCGTGGAAAATTGTTCCAGTGCGCTCGTCAATCGCGCGTCCTCCCTTAGGTTTTCCTGGAACGTATCTAATTATCTCTGAAAGGAGGTTATTATCGGCGCTGATGCCCAGATGTCGGATTTCCTGCGGAATCTCTTCGTTCAATCGATAATATCTCGAATGTCAAAGCGAAAATCACCCGAGATTAATTATCACTTCTGGTGAGCCGCCGCCCCCGCGCCAACCAATCGAGCCGTTCCTTAGCCATCTGAAAGTTTAATGTTACCGCATCGAAGTTTTAATAGGACCTGCTTAGCTCCACTTATTACCTATTTAAACATTAAAAGCAATTTAAGTGTGGCAATCTCCACTATCGGGGAACGACCCCTCGGGGACGCAAAAACCGCCGCCAATTGCGAGAGTGGCGAAAAACTTCCGCGCACCAAATGAGGAAAAACGCCCGTTTTTATACGCACGCAAATTCGGGCCGGAGGCAATTTTCCAAAGGCGCCCCCATCAATTAGCGGAGGGGTCGACGGACCTCCTAGACATTCTTCCCGTTTTTTTTTGTTCCGCCGTGACGTCGTCCAATATAGCAAATGGGATTTGGGATTTCGATAGAGTTTCTGCGTCTCTCCGCGGACGTTTTTATTCTTTTTTATTTCGGGCGAGATTACGCTGCCAGTAATCATTACGTTTATAAAAGGGGCGAACGCGTGTTTAAATCAAAAAAATGAGGGACCTCGTTATGTTTTTTCCTCTCGGGAAATGTGCTAATTGGCTCTTATTCTTTTAACGGACTTTCTTTATTTTTTCGGGGATAATTAGCGAGTCGGGTGTTAGAAAAACAAGGACGGAGGGGACGCCGGACCGGGAAAGGGTTGCCGGGTGCGCTGTTTGCACAAGGGCCGTGTCCTGAATTCCCGTTATAAAGATACAGGAAAATCGCATTTGACTAGATCATGTAAATAAGAGACCGTCCTGAATCTAAAATGCCTTCAATAAAGGACCTGATATTGCTGGAATAACATTTTTCGGCGCTCGGAAATCTATTATCTCGTCCGATATACCGCCGACGTACACACACACACACACACTCAGCGACGGCAACGACAAACCGGTTTCCCTTAATGCGATGCGTTGAACGAAACTGCTGCTGCGACGTGCGATCGGTTTCCCCGACGTGCAACCGGTTTCGGCTGCACGGCGCGTCGGTTTACGTGCTTTATTGCGGCCCCACGGCTACGTATCGACGAAATTTAGGTTAACACGTGTTCCAGCCGGCAAATAAACCTCTCGAAATAAATTATCTCCAGACTGACAAGCGCAAATGTACGCAGACCCCACGTAACGAAATTACGCACCGACCAGGCGATTTTTTAGCATAAAGTCTGGTGAGTCACGACTGACACATCTGGAATTCTTCAACGTCGTTAATGTTGGCGGTCTTCGCGACACGTCTGCAGGTAATCGCTGTTCGAATTAAAATCGCAGCATTTCTGATTTGGGTACGTCGTACGTGATGAGATGGTTTAATTGATTGCAAATCCAGCGTTAAATAACGCGTCTCGAGCCTGAGGCTTTCATCTAGTAAATTAGTAGTGGGTTGATCGTTTAGGTTGTCGACTTTAATCTCGAAATGGGGTTGGAAGTTGGACGTTATGGTCAAAAACGGGGGAATTTGTGCAAGACAATGTCGCCGTCGTCCAATCGGAACGCCGGCCCGCCATGTTCCATTAAAATTCAATTAAATCTCACATTCGTTAACCCCGCTTCTAACTCTTTATAAATAGAACTCGATCGAATGAAAATACGACACGAGTCAAGCGGTCCGTATCAGCACTTGTCCGGTTAATTAGATGGAATTGCTCGGACCAGATGTGTTGACCTTGCCGGACGTCAATAGATACGCAACAAGGGGAAGCCAAACGCGCCTCAAACGGTTAATTTTTCTCGAATCGGGGCTAAATCTTCGACTTCTCGATCAATCATCTCGACATCGATTAGAGAACAGACTCGGAGTCGTCGTCGTCGACAATCTGAATACCGGAGGAAAGTGGAAGGGAACGAAAGTGTAATGATGGCAAGGAATGGACGTCGTTTGGAGATGGTGCAGCTCGAGACGGAGGTAACGAGGACATTACGGGTTTTATCGCGTTCCGGGGAAAACAACAAACATGGTTGTTAGAGGAGCCGGACCCGGCGAATCCGCCATTTTTACGGTCCCGCCACGAAAAACCGAAAGTCGAATTGTTTCGGGATTACCGGACCTAATTCGAACTTCGAGCGAAAAAAGCGGACAAACTTCATCATCATCGCGTTTCGAAAGTTCCTCGCTAAAATATGCACCGTCCCGAATTTCCCTAATTCTTGTATTTTCTCCGCTCGCGCTTACCCCACATTAAGAAAATCTCGCCTTCCCACGACCCAATCGATACCTCCTCCGTCCTCCAATCTTCTCTCAATTCCGCGCCAGATTGAAGGATTCCCTAAATATCCCATGAAGCCGGTGCATAAAACATCTGCAATCCAATAACTCCGGAAACCGAAGAAGTTCGCGAAAAAACGAAAACGCGCCCCACTTTACGCGGGTTTCTATTAATAGCCGACGTTTTGATGAATGCATGCACTTGATTTAGTAATGCCGCGTTCCGCACCAACAGAGCCTGACGGCTGTATTTCCACGAGACCTGGAGGAGAGGCTTAAAAGCTTTTTTTTTACTACTTTTGACGCACTTATAAAGCGATAGCACTCGCGAAGGTTATTTAAACATTACGTCGGATTAAAGTTGAGCTTCAAGGGCGGAGGAAGGAGTCGGGTGCGCTATGTGTAGGGAGCGCGGGCGTGCCGCTCACGCGACACCGCATCCGCACGAGCCGAGTGGCAGTCGGGCACGGTATGAAAGGCGAGCGGTCGTCTGATAGCGAGACGGACTTGTGCCGCTTACCTCACACGCTGGACCGGGAAACTTACTAAAAAGCTGCGTATCATCAGTTACGTTATCAATATTTCTAAAATGTTTATACGTCGTAAATTATAGCAATGTTAAGACATACGTCTCTCCCAATCAACGTGGTTTTGTTAGTGGTCGGTTTACGGTCAGTAATATAGCCGCATTTACGCAATACTTAAGTCAAACCGTTGATATGCGACGTCATGCTGATGTGGTTTGCACTGATTACACTTGAGCTTTAGATTAATTAAAAATAATATTTCAGTTACTTCTGGAGTTCGACAGGGTTCCAATCTTGGTCCTTTTCATTCATTTCGTTGATCAATGATCTACACAAACGGTTTTTTTGTTATGTGCATTATGTAAGTACGAGTATATGGGACCCTACCTATGCATCCCATTTCACAGCGTTACATATTTTATATATTTTTCAATTTTGTTAAATCCATTTGTTAATTTTGTCCTCTAAATGGCAAATTCTCTTAGACAATGCAAGGTAATATTATTATCCTGCCTGAAAATTAACCAATGCGTTGATGGCAGAAATGAAATTCAATGTCAAGTTAGTCAGATCCACACTTTCAAGTTCATCTGAATATTTTCATTTTTTCATGTCATCCTCAAATTGAAAAATGACACCGTTCCATATATCTTTCTCCCTTGCATTTGGCTTGTTTATATACGTAGTCTTTTTTCCACAACTTAAAATTTTATCAAAATGGTAAATTTTTGCCAGCAAATACGGATTTTGCTATTACGCTCCGCCCCTCAGTCTGACAAGGAATGAAAAATTCATCGGAATTGAGAGAGAAATTAAGAAAGAAACAAAAGCCAAAGATAAGCCCCGCCCGCCCACCCCACCTCAATTGTGATGATTTTATTTTATTCGTCGTGAGCCAGGGGGCGGAGCTTAATTGCAAAATCCGTATTTTCCAGCAAAATTTTACCATTTTGAACTTGTTTTCTGTTTCTTGTTAAAAAGAATATTGCGTATTGTGCTTAAAAAAAAAGGCAAAATATAAGTCACGCCCGTGCATACAAAAATCATCAAAGCTTAGATAGGGCGGGTGGGCGGGGCTTGCATTTAGCTTTGTTTTTCTCACTGTACGTCTTCTTTTCACCACTAAAGACTCAAAACTTTGTCAAAATGTTACATTTTATATGGAAATATGCATTTTGCAGTTACGCTCCGCCCCTCGGTCTGACAAGTAATGAAAAATTCATTGGAATCGAGATGAGGGCGGGTGGGCGGGGCTTATATTTTGCTGTTTTTTTAAACACATGTCTCTACGAAAATTTATCATTTTGACAATGTTTCAAGTTTCTTTTTGTGGAAGGAAGATTACCAACATTAAGAATGAAACAAAAATAAAAAGATAAGCCCCGCCCACCCACCCTACCTCAATTGTGATTATTTTATTTTATTCGTCGTACGCTACGGGGCGAAGCTTAATTGCAAAATCCGTATTTCCCTGCAAAATTTTACCATTTTGAACTTGTTTACAGTTT